TATGTTTTACAACTGACACAGCACCTTACTACTTTTTGTCTTAAAATTAAGAGATGAGAAAGCAGAGGTGGGTGGATCTCTGTGAGATCGAGGCCAGCCTGGTCTCCATAGTGAGCTCTAGTCAAGCTGTGGCTACAGAGAGACCCTTTCTCCAAAAGACAAAGAAACAAATTAAGAGAGATGAGGGGCTGAGAGGTGGCTCAGTGGTTAAGAACATGTACTGCTCTTCCAGAGGACCTGAGTTCTGTTCTCAGCACCCATGTTGGAGGCTCACAAACACCTGTAAGTCCAGCTCTGGGGGCAGGGGGGGATTCTGATACCCCCTTCTGGTCTCCTAGGGCACCCACATGCACATCACACACACACACACACACACACACACACACCTTTTTTATATATAAATTAAAGGATGAAATACAGCCGAACACACAGGTGCAGAGAGACAGCACGTGTGATACTTGAAATAGCAGATCCAGCACTCTTAATGACTTGACTCAATTTTGCCTGATGCATCTGTGTCTGTTTGCAAAGTTGTGCTGACAGCCATAGGGCATGCTGAATAAACCTAAAAGACTATGTCTTAGACCTTTTTACTCTCTAGTGCTCCCTGAAGTTTGAAGAGAGCTAACAAACTGGGCAACTAGATGGCGCAGCATCTTGAAGGGCAAATAGAGTCCATTGGCATTCATGTCCTGAGGCTGGCTGTGTTTCAGCAACTCATGGATAGGCTATCTCCTCTCCCCACTCTATCCTGTCTTTCTTCCACCGGGAAAGAACACTGTGTGTGTGTGTGTGTGTGTGTGTGTGTGTGTGTGTGCGTGCCCCTGTTTGACCTGTGCATAGCAGGGTATGGTGATGGTGACGAGGGAGCCAGAATTGTCCCTCCCCCACTATGAGGGTCCCGGGGCTTCATGGTCCAGAGTGAGGCTGGTTGGGAGTCTGAGTGGTGGATGCTTCCTTTCCTGGTGCAAGCTCCCATTATTGCTAATGCCTGTGACGTGCTCGGGGAAGCAAAATATATTCCAAAGGTTTATTTTCCCTCTGCTGCTGAATT